TCTTATTTCCGTATTTCTTAGGCTTAGTTTCCATCATGTCTTATCCTCTTCTTGACAGAACTCCAAATCATTGCTCTCCCTTCTACTAATTGCTTCTACAACCTTTTTTAGAGTTTTGCTTTACTCTATACATTTGATGCTTAATAATGGTATTATGGAGACACTGCAAGGCAAGAATAGCAAAACAATTAAATTACTTCAGGTTTTTCATTTAAACACATCTTTTGTGTTGTAGATCCTTTTTAAAATGGTAGAAATCACTGTTTTGTTTTAGTATCTCCCATGAATGCTAAGCCTTCACTGCATGTTCTAGGTTTGCAAACACTTATGGGCTAAGTGACGCTTCCTGCTACCTTAATCTTCTAGCTTTTTCTCCTCTTTCACAAAAGAAAGCCTCCTTTCTCATAAAAATTTAATAATTTTTTTGAACTATTTTATGTTCTTTTTTACGTACTCACTGATGAGGACACTCTGCTTTTGCAGTGACATTTCTTTGTAAAGAGCAATTCACTGTCAAGACTTAAGAGATAGGTCCATCCTTCACAGAAGTTTATAGGGTGTGTTGCTGTTTGGAGGAACTGATGAGTTAATTTCAAAAAGTACATTTTAGGGCTGAAAGATTGTGTAGGACCTTGAGTGTTTAACTGAAAGAAGGCTTACTACTTAACTGCTTTAAATTTTGCCAAACATAGACGTTGATTACAAAGAATTATTAGCTGAAACAGAGCAGGATTTTCTAGACCATGTTGTGGTGGTTTAGGCTCAGTGTGTAACTGAGCACCATGATGCCCCAAACAAGGGGCTAGTCAAAATAAGGACTGGGAGGGCTTCTCACCACTTAAAAAGGTCACAGGCAAAAGACAGACTCATCATAAGGAATAAAAAAACAACCAAACAACAAAAACAATTTTGTTACCAACATCAGAGTAGAACAATGGGAGATACAACCAGATCTTTAAAGTCAAAACACCTTCCCTCCACCCTTCCCTTCTTCCCGGGCTCAACTTTTGTTCCCAGTTTCTCCACCTCCCCCCCCCACCCTTGCCTTGAGGCGCAGGGGGATGGGATTGGGGGTTGCAGTTGGTTCGTTCCTTGTGAACCTTCAGGAGTAGGGAGGTCCCTGCCCAGTCTCTCTCTCTGCTTCCACGTGGCCTCCCCTTTCCACAGGAGAAAAAGCCCTTACAAGTCCAATACGGGTCTGCCCACAGCTGCAGTTTTCCTTCATGCACAAAACTGCTTCAGCCCAAGTCAATGTGGGGCTCCCCACAGCTGCAGTTTCCCTCACACACGAACTGCTCCAGCACACGCTGCCCAGAGTTACGGCTTCTTCAGGGACAGCCACTGCTCAGGTGGCCCTGCCCCACCGGTGAACTCTATGGGCTGCAGGCAGTCGACCTGGCTCTCACCACAGGTTGCAAAAGGGGAACCTGGGCTCTGTGTCCTCCTCCTTCCCCCTCTCCTTTCTTTTCTTCAGCCGATTTTGGTGTTCCTCAAAGTTGTTCTCCTCAGGCCTCAATCCTTTCTTCGCTGCAGGTCTCTTCTGATGGTTCTGGAGTGTTCCCGGCTCTCTCTCTTTTTGGGCTGGAGCTGCAGCGGGGCTTAAGCTTAAGTTGGGGTTGGGCCGGCCCAGCTGGACAGGGCCAGGGCCATGCTGATCGGGGCCATTGCCAGAGAGAGCGAGCAAGCCCTGCACTCCCCTTAAATACATGAATTTGCAGGGGCACTGATTGGCTTGGCCCTGGTCAGAGGTAGGTCTGACAAAGGCAAAGGGGGAGCTTTTCAGGTAGCTTCTTAAAGGGCCATCTCCACAGCCCTTCCCTCATTACCAGAGGCACAACCAAAAACCCCTCACAGAAAACCCAATACACATGTATTGCAAGGCCACAACATTCTTAGATACCTTACATTGCTTGGGCTTAGACTTTTTTGAATTGGTTCGGTTTTATTTACCATTACTTCTGTTTTTCTTGTAAAAGTATGTTTTCTGTGAATATGTAGAGAACTATATATGCACATGTAAATGAAGAAGTTGTCCGAACAGCTCAAATGTTGTGAGTCTTCATTAATTTTGTGTCGGTGGCTTTTAGATCAGAGAAATTTATCTTAATTGAAGTAGTTTAAGAGTGTCCCTAAAGACTACAATTTTTTAGACCTAACTACAGATCAACAACCTTCAGGTTTATTATTTAAGATATCTACCATTTTAGTGTCACTTTTCCTGGCCAGACTCTCAAGTCCAATCTTTACCATTTGCTTAAGCAAACTCTTCTCAGCAGTTTTGTTGCTTTTGTTTCTTTTTATTTAATTGCATTATTCAGAAAAGGCACAAATTATATCTCAAATTATTGGAGAAACTTACTTCTAGAAATTACTGTCTAGTAGATGGAAAGGAGTAATTTCTCTAATGCAGGCAGAGTGCAACTAAACATTACTCTGCTAACAAAGATATTGGTACTGGCTTTGGTTGTTTCTCCATCTAGCCCAATATGCTGTATTTGGAAAGGAGCAAAAGCTGGATGCCTAAAGAGAAGTTGTAAGACTGGAGCTAGTTGTAGGTATATATTTCTTTGAACATTCTTTTTGATTTGTACAGTTTTGAGTGTTTATATAAACCAAAGGTGAAGTCCTTATACTGCTTCTTTGCAGGGAAACTGTTCATTCATAATTCTCAAACAGATGAACTTTTAAAGTTTTAATATCCATAACAACCAGTGGCAGAAAGTTCCATAGTGACTTAATTAGAGGTTGTATGGAAAGCCACCTTTTCCCATATTTTCTGCATTATTCACGATTGTGAAGCTTTGTCATAGCTCCCACAGTCACTCCCACTTATTTTCCATGCTGCAGAGTACTAGTCCACTTCATTGTATCTCATGCAGAAGTAACAAGAGTGATTATAGTTATGATGACTGACAGTTTGAAATACATGTTGTGCACATCACCTAATTTAAACCAGGATAGGAAGTCTCCACCATGTGGTATTGACAAATACATTCTCAGGTGGACAGACGTGAACAATGATGTCCAACCCTTATGTTTTTCTCATGTATTGCTAACTTCCATCTATGAATTTTTACTAAAGCATTGCACCCTTTATTTATTTATAAGTATGGGGAGACAGTCCACTCTATCAGAGGAGCTACAGCACAGTCTGTAGATCTTTTTACTGTAATGTTTGTAATCTTCAGTCTGCTGAAATTATCTTTTACTTTTTCATGTGCACATTGTACTGATTGTATGCAAGACTGTTTACTGGGAGACGAAAAGGACAAAAGTTATATGGTTTGAGCAGTAGTTCATGATTCTAGCACTACTGTATTTGTACTGTTCAATATTCAATACTGTTGTGTATGCAAAAGTACTTACAGCATCCAAATTTCCAAGTACATGACATATATGTCCATTTCCTGCCCCCCACCCCCCCAGAAAATGTTTTCTGTGGCTTTCTTCAAGCCATCTTAAATGCAGTTGATTGCAAAGTTAAAAACAGTATATTGAGTTCTGTAAGCTCATCATTCCAATTTTGACAGGTATTCTTTTTACAGAAAGAGGAATAAAAATAGAGTATTTGTGCTTTTTAAAAGACCTTTTAAATTTAATTGTATTGCCATAAGGTTGTTTTATATTGTATCACAAACACATAAATATGCAGAAGTACTGTATAACCTTTTTGTCAGTGAGAAGGACCTAGCAAAACCCAGAAGTCACAGTAGTAAGGCAGTAATGAAGTCACTATAACTACAGTATTTTCTTTCATATATTCATCCAGCGACGTCTACAAGTTGTGAATTTTTCATTTTCTTTTTCAAATTCAAGGCTTATTTTAAAATTTAATGCTAAAACAGATGAAAGACATATGTGGATTGAAATAATTTCATATTTCAGACTTGAAAAACTTACTGTTTTCTACATCATTACTTTCATTTGCTTTCTTCTTATTAGGGCTTTGCCAAGCAATATTTATTTCTTTTATCTCTTTATTTACATACTGATAAAAATTCAGCACAGTGAAGCACAACTGAAGTAACCTGAGTGCCAACAGAGTTGGATTTTATTTTCTCTGTCTCACTGATGAACTAAAAAACTACCTGTTCTAACATTGGCCAGCAATACATGTACAAAGGAGAACTGAAGTAATCAAGTATTGGTTAAAAAGCTGGCAGAGAAAGTAAAGTGGAAAATTTCTTTTTTATTTTTTCAATTTAAAAGCTTATGAAAAGGAAGTTTTACAGATACTTTACAGAAAAAAAAAAATCAAACCTTGAAGTAGTACTGTTCAATTCCTGGTTAAAATATTTTAAGTTTGTCATGGAATGGTTGTTAGTATTTACACTTAATTGCAATGACAATGTAAAAACATTTGAGTTAATTTCTTGTTATGTGTCTAAATTGCTTCTACTGGGTCTGAATTTTATCTGATTTCAGAGAGCTATTTCCAAACTATGTAACTCTTGCCTTTGAACGAATAAGGGGTACTGTTATGAACACAATTAAGACCCAGTTAATAATCAACTTCTGAACAAAAGTGAAGCTCTGTTCAGTTGGTAAAAATCATCAGATAATTTAGATCATTGGAGGTCACCTGGTCTAAGATCTCACTTCCACTCAAAACAGGGATGACTTTTGAAGATGGATTGAATAATGACGGCAGTGTCTCTGGGATTGTAAATTTGAGCCTGAACTGGGTGACTTGGATGTCAAGAGTCTCCTGGTGTTTTCTAAACCAGTCAATATTATTTTTAATAGTGTCTTCGAAGTAAATCAACCACCTATGATACTGCCATCTAAGCTCCCGGATTGCTGTCTCCTGTTTGCATACAAAGATTTTGTGTAAAAAGATGAGGCCCCTGATAAAAAGACTAATAATTTACTTATTTGGTAATGGCCTTATCCACTTATAGGCAAGATTTAATATAAGCACAAACATATTACTGCATTACTCTTGCTTTAAAATGCTAAACTGATCTGAGTATTTTACATTCCTCTTCTTCTCTTCACAGTGCCAGGATTTCCCTACCCTGCTGCCACTGCGGCTGCTGCGTACAGAGGTGCCCATCTAAGAGGCCGAGGTCGCACAGTGTACAACACATTTCGTGCAGCAGCTCCCCCCCCTCCAATTCCAGCCTACGGCGGGTAAGATCAGCCTCTCTTACCTATTAGCATGAATCTCCAAAGGCTACAAGCGATTTGTAACCGTGGTGCATGCTGATCATGCCTCACCGCAGAAACCACCGCAGCATGCAACCGATCCCAGGGCTGGAAGTGGTGCACCTTGCACGGAGTATTGAAAAATGACTGTAATTTGTGCTGCCATGGTTGGTGGCCTTAAGCATTTCAGATGTCACATATTGTTATGTAAATGCGCTTAGAAACTGAATGCTTTGGAACAGAGAAATTGTTTCAGCTGAAGATATATTTTTGATTGCAAACATCTGGTTATTAAGGAGGTTGGATCAAGTTAACTTCTTTTTCTTTGAATCATCCACTGAAAGTTGTCTCTGGACCTGAAGGCTTAGTGGTGTAATATTTTTTCTATTTTCTTGCAGTCTCTTTAGCTTTTCTAGCTGACATCTTTACCACGATAGAATTCTGGAGTGATTTTCTCAGGGCCATGTGTTTTTCAGTACATTTGCTTGAATAATACCTTAAGATTTCACTGTCAGTGACCTACGTTTACTAAAACCAAGTAGTAAACTAAGGAACAAAGAAGATAAATTCATAGTAGTAATTTATCTTCTGTTATATCAGAAGATCTCTTTTTTTAGGTATATTTTTGAGGGAAAGAAGGAAGAAACAGTTCTGTAGCTCTGTAAATGCTGGCACAGAAAGGTTTTGTATACTGCATGTGATATTTAAAAGCCCTAATATTGTCAAAAGATTTTCAGCTGTTAAGAAATGGGGAAGTTTGGAAAATCAGAAACCATAGCAGATCCTAGGCCAGGAGAGCGTATTGACATAAAAATTTGAAGTAGATATGCCACTACCTCTCTGTAGAGCAACCAGATCTTTCTGAGAAAGGGTCAAGAAGGGTTACAAAGTCTCCGAATGAAAGTGATCTCTTTCTCTCTCTCTCTCTCTCTCTCCCCTCACTAAAGTCCTGCTCAGCTGCTCATCTGGCTCACTGTGGATGTTCTCTTGTAAGGGAACTTGCAGCACAAGATTGTGCCACGACACTGTCCTCCTCCTCCGTTATGGTAGAAGATGTGTTCCCTTCACTAGTTCCCTCATTTTCTCCTGAAGCCTGCGTTCTGTTAAGCCAAAAAGCATGTCTTTTTCTAAACAAGTTTGATCATCTAGTCAGTCAGCAATTGAACTAAATTTTGGGGGTTATTTAGGAAAGGAACTCTGACCATTCCTTCAGATTGGGCAGTTATCACCTTAGAGAAGTAAGATGTTCTGACAATGAATATAAAAATGATGCCACAGAATCAGGTTATACTGTCAAACTGTATTTGTTTTTCAAAGCGTTTTGTGTCATTTAATAAGCAAAATAATATTACTTTAATAAACAAAACAATATTACCACTACTAGAGGAATACACCACTATTTTTGAAGATGGCCTGAGATGCCTTTGGACCAGGATAGTGTCCCACCGAAGTTATCCTACTGTTGCCCAGACAATCCTTTAGAGTGAGTCCATGCATTTGTGCATGGCTGTGATGGGAACCAGTTTAGAATGTCCTGCAGGAGCCAATTTCAATCTGAATGTCTCAGCTACAAAATGGATATTGACTAACAAAAGTGGACTCTTTCCATCTCAACTTAGTTTAAAAAGAAAGTCTTAAATTTGAGCACAGTGTACAATAAGTAGCAAGATAATGACATGGGTTATTACTAGTTTCATGATGTTACTAACATAATACCTTAGTTTAATACAAAGTCATAAAATAATACAAGAATATATATACCAGCTGTGCAGGATACAGTCTTGTAATTGGACAATACTTTTTTTGTTAATATTTGCAAATTGAGTAAGTATTTTCAGACCATTAAGTAACTTAAATTTGCTTTAATTTAAGGGCCCACATGTGGATGCTCTCTGTGTGTATGTATGTGTTATATATGCTTTTATTGTTTAGTCAGTACAGTGACTCAGCAGGAAGAATTAAATTTCCATGTATAATACATATATATTTCCATGCAATGGTACTGCTTGCTTGCAGCATCTTTAGGTAGTAAGTTAGATACATAAGGGTTGTGAACTCCTGTTGTAAGTTAATACAGGCGTTTTGCACTGCAGTCAGGGTCAGCAGCATTTCAGAACTGGGTTCAAAGAGGTCAGCTCAGCACTCTTGTGTTCTTCTGCAGCTGGTTGGACAGAGCTCACCTAGTGCCCTAATGACCTGTCCTTACAGCTGACTTCTGAGGGAGCCGTGTATTGCGTTGCTAAGAAGTCACATCTTCTCATTGTTCTGATGACATCCAGCTGTCTGAGGTGAACTCTTCGTAATCTAGGGCTCACCTTGCCAGTCAGTATGTTTGCTAACAAAGTGTGATGCTGCAGAAGTTTTAAGTTAGTAAGCTTTGTCTTAATTTAGGTAGGTCTTAGTTCAGGTATTGGTCAGGTTTTATTTTCTCCATCTACCTATGCTTTATGATAAGACACCGCTTTCCAAAGCACAAAACAAATTTCCAACTTTTGTAATTCTTGTATCAGTGCAGAGATAATACATAACTCAATTTCAGTGATTAATAAAGCATTATTCTGAAATGGTTTCTTTGGCCTAGTGGGCTAGATCTTGTGCTAGTAACTTCACTGATACAACAGTACAAATTGGAATTTGCAATGCTTTGTTCTCTGCTCAACCATTATGTACTCTGCCCTATCGAAGCAAAGTAGAATTTTCATCAGAAAAAATCCTTAATCAATGAAAAGAAATTATAAGAGTGGTTTTCAGTCACAATGGAAGTAGGAGTCAAGAAAAATTACAGAGATAATAAAGCGATCACAGAACTAACTTACAGAAGGAAGCAAACAATTTGCAATATCATTTGTTGTAAGAGAAATGGAAAAAGCTTTGAATGCTATTTTTCAATTCATTTATTAGCAATTTCTCATTTTTTCACTCAAGGAAGGCGCCCACCCTTAGAGCCAAGCAAATAGTTTCATACTGAAATATTTTCAATCATCAAAAAAACCCCTAACATTTATTTTGTATAATAACAGATATAATTGTAATTATAAATTGACATCAGTGTTTAGTTATATATAACATTTCTTTAAAAAAAACAACCACTTCTAAGTGTAAAATGTAAAACTGACGTTTGAAATGACCTTTTAAATTTTCTGTTATTTCTTTAACCTTAGAAAGCTTATAACTGAAATAAAGTACAATACTTGATCTGAAATAATCTACACACTTACTTGTTTATATTACAAAGTTTTGAAACTGAAACTGAATAATTTTGCTTTTCAATTTGGAAATCAACTGTAAGAAGGTGGATCTTAGCTTAGTCTGGCATGCTGCTTACTTGTGTACTCAGCAGCACTGTCTCAGGATTCCCTGCTCTCTATCAGAAGCATTATTTCTGTTCGTTCTCCCTTGACTCTGTAGTTGTTCTTGTTCACTGGTGTCTGGTTTGATACTGACTGACTTTTTCTTAGAAACAGTTTATCGACAAAGTTAAGCAATGCCAATGCATCACAGGCTGTGAGAAAATCTGGATGATCTTGTGGTCATTAGGCAAAACAAGTTAGTGTGATTCATATGGAAAGCTCTCTCCTACTGAAACAGCAAATATGGCACACTTTGCTAGGTCTGAGGAAAATTGTTAATTCTGGCCATATTTAAGGCCATTATTTTCTTATAAATCAAACAACAGCACATGTGCTTTAGAATGTGTCATTTAAAAATCAAATCAGTGTCCATGAGATATGTAGCACTACATAAATAGTTAATGGATCCTTTACTTACAAATGAGATGTTTCACTAATTTCTTGAGATAGCGTCTTGTTAATCAGCTCATGGAAAATACTTAATTTTTAGCATCTGTGGCATCATTTCTAATGCCTTGAAATACTACAATATGCAGCTTACTCATAACTTTGTATGTATAATTCATTTGTGTACCATAAAAACCTACTGAAACTGAAATGAGGGAGTAAAGTTTCATTTGTGTGAGAAAACTGAACGCTGAAATTTAGAGTTTGGAGCTCTTTATTGCATGGAGAGCATAGCTTCAAACACTGTGCTGCAGGAGGAAGAGAAGCAAGAGATGGTTGTGTTTTGTGTGGCATGAGAAGTGCATGGAGATCAGAGTCTGTCAGTATGGGAGGCTGTAGCTGTGGAGCAATGAGCTATTGCCTGCTTATCTCAGGGGGCTCCCTGGGAGCTTTACAGCCAGATTGGCCACTTGGTTGAGGAGCAGTGCAGTTACCATTTTAAGCTGAATAAATTCCTTTCGTATCTTCTTTCTTGGGACAGCTTCCATGTGGGATCTGAACTTACTGCTTCTTTGACCTTTCTTGCAGGCTTCTCTCTGGGTACTAGGTAGTGTTTTGTACAAAATAATTTTTATATGAAAAAAAAGGACATCAATGTATAAAAACAATGTAGTTTTGACTTGTCCTGTGTCTTTCTGGGATTATCTATTTTACTGACAAAGTGCCTTCTTTGGTAGTACGTAATCGTGTAAGAAATGTCCTAATAAAGTAGAAGTTGCTAGTAAAGGTACTCCTATGACAGATTTTGGATGCAGTTGGTGGTACTTAAATTGCTAAAAAAAAAGGAGAAAGAAGCAGGTTTTGTTCTCTTTGTCAAACTTGCAGGTGATCTGATTTTGATGCTTGTAGTTGCTTTTGAACTCTGCAGCAGCTGGGAGCTCAGCATTCTTGAAAATCATTCACTAAACAGTTAATCATGAGTATCATGCTCCATCTTTATATTGCTGTCATGGAAAGCCAGTGTCACTGTGTGTCTGGTAGAAGATAGTAGTAAAAGATAGCAGTATTGATAAAACTAATGAGAAGCCCTTCTATTCCAGCATCATTTGCCTCAAGTTCTCCACAAGTTTAGTGTGTGATGACTTTGTCTTCACGATTCCCCTCTGCTCCTGCCAGTTCTGATGAAGCTAACAGAGAATTAACTTTCAGTCTGTACCTCTGCTTCTAGTTTCTTTCCTGGGAAAACAG